ATTCAATAAAACTATTGGAAAATTTGCCCAACGTCACTCTTCTATTTCATGGTATAAAGCCAAGTCATTCTAGTGCAATCATCTACAAGGGTAACGTGTCGCTATTGGTGAGGGACCTCATACATCAGAGTGAATTAACTCAAATGGCATTGATCTTTTATTGGACTCAAGTGGTAAGAAGTACAATGACTTTTTGCTAGAATGCAATCTTAACACTGAAAATCAAAGTCTGAAACGCCATTAAATAAAAACGAAAGTAATTTTCTTAAATAACCAAAAGATGCATGTCCTAGTTGATGATGCCATAACCAGATTCTCTTAACCTTGTTGTTGTGACCACTACTCACTTGGTTGACTCGGCCCAGTACCACATCATCCACATAATATAACATTCTCATCTTTAGTACCACGCCCAATGATCGTCTATGTCTGGATATCCTATAGTAGGCAAAAAGTGGGAAACATGAGTACAACACAATCTAATTATTCCATAACTTGACCAACAGAAAGTTAATGATTCAACAATGAAGGAACAAGAAGAGTGTTATGCAGAGATAAAGAGGGAGTAAATGCAACAGAATCCGCTCCTGTAACTGGAGCGATTTCACCGTTTGCTGTGATAACAATCTCCTTGGGTGGCACGGTTAAGTGGTGAAACAAGGATTCATCATATGTCATATGATCCGTAGCCATCCAACCAGAATCTCGTTTAGTGGATGCTGTGAATGCAGTGCCAATTTTACTTGGATCATCGGATTGTTCTTGGGATGAAATCAAATTCAATAATGAAATATGCGGGCCTATGCCCAGTCTGCTACCAACGCCATCATTACTGACTGATGAACCCGGGCGCCTGCATTGCCCAATCTGTTGCCAACAATGGCATGCGAACCTGCCTTTAGTCCACTTGGAATGTGGGCTCCAGGCTCGGCAAGCCCAAAAACACCCACTGTGGATGCTAACACAGCAAGCCTAAGGGTTGAACCCAATATTGCATGGCTTTCAGCCATTGAAAAAAGAAACGGTGGTGTGGATATGGGTTAGCTTCCTAGGATTAGGTTCAAGGTGATTCTCTTGTTTTGAGATCACCTTTGGTTTTACTACAGGTGGTTGTTTTTCCAGACATTGAGAACTCCAAGTCAACAACAAGGGTAAAGGTTTAGAGAGGTCGAAACCTGCTCTGATACCAAGATAAAAGTGTTTAGGGTTTAAATTGTGTGTTTATTCTTCTCTTTAGGAGGTAAATATATAGTTGTACAATATCTCACATAACAGGAAATAAGAATCTCAATTATACAAAGAATAAATTATAGGATTACATTCCTAAACTAAATGGTTGACTCACGCCAACAATATATATATATATATATATATATATATATATTGTGGAGTAAAATTCTCTCTTTCTTTGCTCATAGAATTCTCTCCTCTTCTCTTCTCATTCCCTTCTCTCTCCTCTTTTCATAGTTTTCTTTTTATCTTTCTCTATTTATAAAAAATTAATACAAAATATTAATGTGATTTAATTATAATCGTTTAATAAGAGAAGAAAGAAGAAAAGAGAGATTAAAAAAGAAAAATATATTTCTGATACATTGTCTCGGTAGCTCTAGATGGTTGAACAGAGGAGGTAGTGCTGAAGTGGCTGCAATCCCCAAGCTAAAAGGCCACATTAAGATACCTGAACATTCCACACACATCATGGTCAGCGCCGTTCAGATCAGAGAGAGAGAGAGAGAGTTAAATATGAAATCAAACGGTTCTTCTTCTTTGTCCCATTTAATTTACATATAAAATTTTAAATTGCATAAGAAAAGCACAGGAAAACTAATAAAAAAAAATTTGAAAACTTTGAATTGTAACGATAAGATTAAAATAAAGGGTAAAGTAAATAGTATCAGAATTGACTTTTTAATGTAAAAATATGATTTTTTGTTAAAATAAACGGTATCAGAAAATTTTCGTTAAATTTCTTGAAAAACACTCACTAACCGATTGACCGACTGCAACCCCATTAGCTCAAACCCACATCGAAGTTTGGAAAGATGGCACACAACAGTAGTGTCATCAGATTAAATTAATTTACTTAAACTAATACGACCACGGAAATAGGTCAGATTCATAGAACCAACAACGCATGTTGGAGTCCTTTTGCACTATTAGAAAAAGGGTTTGAGCATGATGATCTTCAAGCTGCCACCATGTGTTGTGGACAAGAAAACACTTTGCTAATGAAAAGCCCACGTATAATTTTGACCACATATCATGTTTGAGTTTGGTTCGAAATACATCATATCCTCATACGATATTACAAATTCAATGTAAAAAAAATGTAACACCAAGAATAAAAATTGATAACGATATTTTAAATCACTAAAGTTAGTGAATAGAATGATGAATAAAAGTGCATTAGAGTATACATAGAATGATAAATAAGAGTATATTAGAGTTTCAACGTCTGAAACCCTATCTAACCGAAACCGAAGATTGAAATGGCTTTATTGTTTGGGCTGTACATACATACATACATACATACATATATATATATATATGTATATATCTCTATAGAAATATTCTTAATTACTAACAAGAGGTCCCAAAATTCCCTAGAATATTCTAGTAGTTTAATCGCTATATTTGAATAAATTCTAAGCTGTTCCTCCTGTCATGAGTCGTTATTTATAGCGTCAGGAAATGGCGATCACATGAAGAAAAAGACTAATTTAATTTGGACATTTCAAACGCAAGTTCAATTCACTTCAGTGTACATTTTAATAATTAAGCTGCATAGGGAACCCACGTAGAAGTTAAAACACAAAGTATATACAGCCACTATTAACCGGTAATATAGTCTGATAGACTGTAAATCAGAGATTGTTATGTTATTACATGAAACCAAATGTTTAAACATGGCACATTAAGAGCATCTCCAATTAAATAGGTATCGAACAATTTTACCACATCTTATCAATATTGCTTTTAAAAAAAGAAAGACTTACAAGAGAAAGATTTACATACAAAAAGGTACATCTAACAAAATAAACTTACATTATCTTCATGACAACTATACCTTATAAGAAAGGTACATCTAACAAAGTAAACCTACATCATCCTTCACACTAGACAACCATACCTTGTTTGCAAAGTTAGAAACCACACAACTTTTGCAAAAAAAATTAATTTAGTGATTCTACATGTTTTTACTTGGAGTTATCAAAACTATCCCCTTGAGGTTTTTCATGTTTCCAGCATTCCCACAAGGTTTCAAAAATTACACAAACATCCACTGAGGTTTCTAAATGTTTTCATGAAACCCTTTGGTTCATGGGAAATTTTTTAAAATGTCATATGAACTTGCGCACTTTTATGAATTTTTCTTATGAACTAAAATTTTAATCGATTTATCATATCAACTTTCTAAAATCATTAATTTGTCATATGCCCTTAACTCCGTTAGATTTTTCTTCCAAAATATGTCGTGTGCCTTGCACATGACTTGTGTTTAGGGTTATTTAGGACATTTTAATTCTCCACTCCCCTTCTAAAAACTTACTTAAGACAAAATAAAAATCAAGGATTTCAACAAACCAAAAAATGAAAATGATTACACAATGGCATAATTTTTTTTTTTTGAATAAAAAATGAAACTTAATTCTAATCGAGTTTCTCTCCAGTAGTATCGTCCTCAAAATATATATATCACATGTTCTTGCAGATAGTTGTTCTTTAAAACAATGATAAATATTAAACTTACATTGTTTTTACAAAGTTATTGATTATGGCAAACAAATGAAATGAATTGAAAATGAGGTCAAACGTTTGAAATAATCCTAAATATAAGTCATGTGCAAGTATTTTGGATGGAAAATTTAACGGTGTTGGAATAAGATGACAAATTAATGATTTAGGATTGATATGATAAACTACTTGATATTTTATATAGTTCATATTACAAATCAAAAAAGGTGTATAAGTTCATATCATGTTTCAAAATCCTATAATTCATCCAAAATTTGGCGATTCCATTAAAAAAGTTCTTATAAATGACAAATTTACTTTTCTAGACAATTACATGGCCACGGAGATTTATCGTGTTTTCAACCCCTTGGGTTAATTGTTTTTTCACATAACCCCGTAAAGGTTTTAAACCTTACAATAAGACCCGCTAATATGCTTTCATATAACCTCTAAACATAAAATGAAGCGACATTATTTAACATATACATACTATAAACGAGGTCGGTTTTCTAACATTTTTGAGTTATAATGTTTTCTTCTTTTCTTCTTTACGAAGGGGTCATGCGAAAATACGAATAGAACTCAGACGATGTATTTGAAATTCAGTCTTTAAGAGTAAATTTGTTATTAAAGAAACCTTTTAATGACATCAGCATTCTTTTAACCGAAAGAGTATTGTAAAAACAATTTGAAACCCATATGGAGCTTCGTGAAAACACGCAATTTTTAAAAATATTAATGTACTTTCCTCATCATTACAACAAATTAGGATCGCACCATAAATGGTCTATAAAATATCCAACCTCAACCTTTGGAGTAGACTAAAATTTGATAAGTGGAATGCATAAGTATGTCACCTAAGTTGTCAAAATACAAAGTTACCTCAAGATGATACCTCACTCCTTCCATATGCTAACAAGGAACAAGAGGCAATGCCGATTTGTCTTGCCATCTCAGAAAATGGAAAGGCAAACTCAGTTTGCATCTCCAAGGGGGATCGATATTTAAACTGGATCCAATTAGATTTGATATAATTAACAGGATATGAACTGAAAACGCACAATCTGATAATTCAAATAAGATCTAAATTCCATAATCCGAATATCAATGAACATGGGAGGGTAAGATGGGATGTTAATGACGTCTACCAGTGTAATTTTACGCCACCGTAGACTTTCATACTCCACTATATTAGAGCAGGTCCTAAGTTCAAATCCGACATACCACAATTATTGAACAAAGTAAGTAATTTTACAACTATGAAAGAAATATTTGAAGAAATAAATTATGTTGTTTGAACGTAGTACAATTTCATGGCTTGGCTATATACTGTCAATAATTTTCTACAGATAAATACGAGAGAAGAAAGCAAAACTTGGATCTGGATATCTACCAAAATATGTGCTTCATTAATGCATACATTTACAGCAACAGATCTTTTTCTACCTAAATCATTGCTTGCAGGCTCCTAAAATACCATGAGTTAGTATTATACACAGTTGGACTGGTAATCTAGTTACCACCCGTATATTGGATTTTCTACCTGGGGAGGCAAGAGACGAAGGTCTTTACAGTGTTGCTTGTCGTAGTATCGGGTTCCCGGAATTGCTCCAGTGCATAGTCTAAGGAATTCATTACCGGTGAGACAGTAGTGGGCAAATGCCAATCCTCCGTCAACCATACCCGTCAAGCTAGGCATTGATGCTGATTTTGGGATCCTCTTTTGATCCCCCATGCTTGATTTCGCACCATCGTTGTCTTTGTCCAAGATTTTGTCAAGCTCAGAATACTGCATAAACCTCTGGGTTGCGGCTTCCCATGAAAGATGGTATCGTTGCTCGGGAGTGAGGGGCTGAGGTTCGTTTTCCATTGCTTCCTTCACTTTGGCAACAAATTCCTCAGATGTTTCGTAGGTCAAGCAATTAGGAAATGATCTGAAAAACTCATTTGATGGATGATCCGCACAAATTACAAACTTTCCCATGGCAAGCGCCTCAGCAGTAGCCGTGCACAGCACATCGCTAACGCTGGGATTTATGAAGACTTTGTACCTTCAAGCAAAAGAGAGAACATCATTAACAGGAGAAATGAAGAGGGGCAAGAAAGAAAGAAAATTGTAAGATTGAACAGTTTAATCATTCATTCATCGAATGTTATTTCTAAGTGACGATCTGCACAGGAGCTAATATGCTTTTGCACAGAGAGTTCCTAAAAGATCCTTACCCGTGAAGAGAATCATCTGCATGGTCTCTTCCTTTAAGAAAGTTGAGATTTAAGTCCAAGCTTTTAGCTGTACTCTGAACTTCATTGGCATCCTCTCCGTTTCCATACACGTCCAACTTGAAGCCATCAAGGTCACTCTTGTGCTTTGCCAACAAATCTATGAGCTCACGGTATCCCTTTGCCCAGACCATCTTCCCTAAGAAATATGCTCCTTTTGAGAACGCTTCCTGTCCAAGTTCCCTTTCCGCAGCCACCTTTTCACCAATTCTCAAGAACTTGGGATTCACACCGTGGACGTTGCAAATTACAGACTTCGGTAAATCCTGTGTGGCAGAAGAAAGGCGAAGAACCTGGAGAAAAATCATTAACAATTTAGTTATCAGATCAAGAAAAGCATACCTATGTCTATAATATCTTTCTGAACCCATCCGTCCCTAATAACGTTAGCAGAAACCGTGATACAACACATTCAAAAAATAATTGTGCATGATCATCAGATATCCAATGAATTGACTAATACCTTGTCGCAGTATGCTCTTGTAACCCAATTGTTTATGTGCTTCACAAAGAAGGCTTGGAGAGCGCCATTCTTCTCCCTCTTGATATATTCCAAGTAATTTGTGTGAACAACACCAACAACATGGTTAAATTTATCGGTCCAACGCTTACCATGATGATACCAATTCAAGTGTTCCGGTTCTTCCAGAATAGCAATGTCAGCATCCTTGGACGGAATAAACTGAGAAGTGTCCCCAGCTGGTAAAATGCTTCGCCTTTCTTTTGAAAACTAATATATAGCAAGACCAGATATCAATTAGCAACCATGATATGATATAAATAAAAAGTCATTTGCATAGTCAGGTTCACCAGATAATTACCTTTCCTGGATAAAATGATATCTTAAAGTCAGCTTTAAAGCCAATCCTTTCCTCAAGCCAGTTACGGATATAAATTTCCTGCTCTTCTGGTGAAGTAAACGTAATGTTGCTAGGATATACAAGTTCTTGATCTGATTTACAAAGCCATGGAACTAATAATGTCACACTCTGTTTTGCAGACTCTGCAAGATATGCAGCACGAAACAGTGGATTCACTGCTGTTCCGGTCATCCAAGGAAGACTAGCAGTTGTGACAATAGCAACGTGTCTTTTCTCATCTGACGGTTCATGCTTTGCATGATCTGTCCAAAACCCACCATCATAAGAATGCCCTGTGCTTTGGATGACGCTGGCTATCCTTAAATCTAATTCATCATTTATGTTCTCACTGTCTAGAACAGATGACTCTCCAGAAGAATTCGAGTGCAGAACTTGGTTCTTGTGTTTGCTGCACAAGCTTTCCACTATTTTCTCACACACATCTGCAGTCATTTCCAATACCGTACAAGTTCAGCAGTCTTGGAAAATGAAATCAAAGATAAAGATATGTGAAATAGTCCAACAAAGTTTGAACTATAAATTCCATAACTTACCCAAATTTTTTAAAATAAAATATATATCAAATTTAATATAAAACATATATACACACACATATATTAAAAAAACATATATATACATATACATATATATATATATGTGTATGTATATATTAAAAAAAAAAAAAAAAAAAAAAAGGAAAAACATTGAAGTCTCATTACTCATCTAATTACTTCACAAAAGCATCAAAGTTTCCCAACCCAAGAATTTTTACAGTAACAGCTTGAAACAGAACTTAAAGAATCACTTACTTCTCTTAACGCCAAGTTGATCCAGGAAAGGCTCAGATTGCCTAACCAAACATGCCAAAAGTTCTGTCACATCCAAAGGAGGTACTGCCTATATCATGTATAGAAAAGAGAAAATTACAATAGCACATTGCATTATAGTTAAATTTGTTTTATGTTATTTCCATTTAATAATTCAAATATTATGAAATGAAACAGGCACAGCAAAACCAGTTCATAAGGACCATCATCAAAATCGAGGCCCATGGTTTCTGAGAGTCTTAGAATAATTAAGCCCCAATCTAAGTCCAGTATTCTCTTGCTAACAAGATTAGAAATCAATATGTACAGTATATGGAATACGGACACCACAGTTGCAAGAACAACAAATCTTAGCTTCTCATCTTTTTTGGTTAAGTTTTGGAAAATAAACCATTCTTTGTTGGAACTGTACTACTACTAACCTATCTTTTTCTCTTATTCGGCTACAGTTAGAACTGTGTTTCAGAAATTAACAAGCTTTGTTGTGAGTTCAATGGAAGACAAAGGACAGCAGTGAGGACTAGGAGGGCTTGGGCATCAAGGCTATATTATGATTTCTTTTACACATGTACAGAATTTTATGCATAAACTATGTGTCGAATAAACGAACATACAAAAAATTTACAGATATCGCCAAATGTTCTTTTATTTACCCAGCTTATACATCCACCTTTAAACAATCCAAGAAAGAAAATTTCTCTGGAGGCTCATGACAGTGAAAGAATTAGATAATGTACATAAATATGCCGAAAATGAGTTCTGCACAGTAACACGTTACAGCAAAACATTCCAACCAAAAAGACAATACATAAATTTCCAATAAAAAACACAGGGAACAAAAGCCAACTTTGCAGAATGTATACCAACCTTTGACTCCTCAGGCTCCTTGTAAATTGATTTCTGAAAACAGGAGAAAACAAAAATAGTTGTAAGAATATACATGCACCTCTTTATTACCACATATCAAGAAATAAACGATGATCATGGATAACAAAGCCTGGAAATTTAAAATGTAAACTGCAGAAAAAACAACTGTGATATGGTGATATATATGGGTAAATAACTAAATATATAGTGTTTTATTCACCAAAACAAATGCTCCTTTCATTGAACAAACATCATATAATTTGTTTGGCATCACTATGCACCTCATGAAATTGTGTAGAGGAATACATTCTGAATAAAATAACAACTCACTTGTTAGATAGAAGGATTGTCTCACACTAGATGCTCAGACTGAAGCATTTATACCCAATGACATAGTATATAGGCATTGACACATATCAAGTTTTAAGTTTTAACTGATCCAAAAATATTCCAATTGGTGCACAGGTTGTGGTTCGAATGATATTGGGCTCCCAACATCTATGCATAACAAAGAACTACCATAAGCCTACACTGTTTGGCATCGCATGGTTCAAAGTAGTTGATCAAAAACCCCTTTACTGTTGACTGCAAAACTCTCTCCAATGATTTCAGAACCTTAGCTGAAGGATTTTTTTTCTATACCTTCTTGTGACCAAACGATCACAACAAATATGAAATATTTCGTATTTTCAACTCTAAACTTGTTTATTCTTATTTAGTGCAGAAGACATTAGTAACTAGCTTCCCATAAGTTCTATCTTATTCCCCAAGGATCCAATCACATTTCAACACAATAGTCTTTCAGTGTCCCCTACCCCGACTTAATGTAGGCAACCCAATAAACTTACAAAGATATCGATAACAAAAGTAAGCACACAGCTATCAAATTTAAAGTTTCATAGTTTGGTTTACTCCTGTTTTGTTTTCACTAACCAAAACACAATAGCCACCTATATGAATCACTAATACCAACTTCCACCTGAATTGTACCATGTCATTCCAATACAAACTACAATCAAGATTCAATTTTTATTTTTTGATGCATATAGCCAATCAAAGTCTAAGAAGAACCCGAAAAATAAAAAAAAATCGATTGGAATTAAGATATAAAGTTAACAAATTTAATTGCCTCGGAAACTCGGAACTGAAAGCAACAAAATACGAAATGAAGGTAGAGAGAACATACCAAGCTGGACTTGAATTTCTCCACAAACTCACTGTTCTTAAATCCACAGAGAAATTCCCGCTTTTCGAACTCTTTCAATCTCGTCTTCAACGCCCGAATTGGCTCCCAGTCCTTGTTAGACTGTCTCTCCTCATCCTCCCCCTTACCCTCCCCTTTCCACTCGCCCCAAAACTCACTGAACTTCAATGGCCTTCCCCTAATAACCCTATTAAATTCCATAACTCCATCCCTGTCCTCCACCTCCGACACCAGCGCATTCTTTATGGCCGACAAATCGATCCGGATCCTCGACCTGTGGCTCCACTTGTCCAGAACCTTCTTGCTGAATCCCGGCGACGAATACACCCTCCGAAACTCCGACAGCTTCGGCTGCAGCTTCTTGACGAAATCTATCTCCGCCGGCGGAGAAGCCGAAGACGACCGAATCCCCGCCGACGACGCGGAGTTGAACTTGAACAGGTTCTCGAGCTCGCGGTCGAACGACGTCGCGAGGTTCTTGAACTCGTTGGCCCGGTGCTTCATCAACTGGAGATCCGCGTCGGCCGAGTCCTTCACTTCCCTCCACCCTTTCGATATGAAGGAGAAGGCGTTGGAGGAGGTCGAAGCTTGGCCTTCGCTTCCCATGGCGTAGAAGCTAGGGTTTCGACTGAGAGCAAACGAATTGAATTTTCTAGAGTTCCGAATCGTAATTCGGGAAGCTTGCAGATATAAGGAAACAAACAGAGACGAGTTGTGGGTGGGCTGAGAATTTAACGGTTGGTATTTTCGGGGCGCTCTGTTTCTGCAACCTAGCTGTTGCACGTGTACTTTCCAAGTCGGATATTCGCATGTAACGATGCGGTTTAGGGATGGTGACGTGGAAATAGGGCACGTGATGGGATGACATGGCGAGGTGTAATTGGCTGGGTTCGGTTCGCGATGAGAATATTCTGGAGGGAAGAATATGCTGGAGCCTGGTGATTGACGGCTGAGATTTGTGTGCACTGCGATTCGTGTATGAATGCTGATAAGGAGGACGTGGCGGGAATTGATTGGGGGAACATTTGCTTCGGTGGCTTAATTTCTTGTCCCGCCGTTTCCGTCTCTGTTCTGACATGAGAGTAGGGCGGGATGTCGATTCCTGCGTGGGAAATTTTAATGGCAATGTTTGGACGGTATTCGAACTAGTTAAAAGCACTATTGAAGGACTGTCGAAAAGTGCTTCTTCGTGAATCACTTGCAGTAAATGCGTTCTAGCCCTTCTAGTCAAAACACTTTAACCAAGCACTTCTAAGAAATATTGATTTCTGAATAAACAATGTCAACTCGTAGTAAGCACATGGTTGATGGCAATGGCATATAGTTATTTCAGCTCAAAGAAAAAACAATATTTAGTGGGAAGATGAATTTCAGCTCATGACGTATAGACATGTCAAATATTGCATAATATTGCAGTTGTTATATTTTTATAAAACAGCAAAATAAAGCATTATTATCATAGAAAATGACTTATATAGATACAATACGTTAAACAAGACATGAAGCCAAACTTTGGCTGTTACAAAATTCATAAAGAACACGTCAAAATCACTTTTAGCAAAACATATAACAAGAAAGCAGAGCAATATATAACAAGAAGGCATTATTCTAAACGCTAGGTAGCTAGCTACCTACCCGATTAATCTTTAGGCATTTGAAAATTAAGAAATGTCTCCTAAACCTTCTTAGACGCATAGCTTGCCCGCTTAGACACGCATATGCACTCGCTTAGGTCGCATCTCTCACTTACATAGAAAATAGATAATTTTCATTCCCATTTTTTTTTTTAATAAATTGTAAGAGACTTGTTAAGTACTTAGATGAACACTCATTATATTCTAGTTCCCCGTGTTTTTCAATATGTTCTAAAACTTTCTAATCTATAAGTTATTCTATTTTTCAATTTATGTATTCCAATACAATTATATATTTTTTAAGTATAAATAAGTACTTATTTGTACAATATATAATAAAGTTACTTAAATCCGCCTAGGCACTAGGCCCCAGTTCCGTTGCCTGACTAGCGCCTAGCGTCGACCAACAAACAATAGGATGATCAACACCCAACTAGACAAATAATATTACCCTCTCTAAATATATGATAAATGTGAACAAGCAAATGCCATTTCATCAAAATATGAATACAATAATATTGCAGCATTACAATATGAAGTCCAACCCTCATTGTTAAAGAATTCATAAAAATTAAAAAATCAAAAATCAAAATCATTTTTAGCAAAACTTATAACAAGAAAGTTGAAATAGGTTATTAAGCTTCGTATTAATATAATTTCTTCATCGTTGCTTGTAAAAAAAAATTAAAAAAAAAAAAAGCGTGTGGCTTTGACGATTTCAAATGGACACGAAAAGAAATGTAAACTTGATTGTTCAATTGAAAGCTACGGCATATTTCGTCCTTTTACTGCATGTGGCTTTGAGGATTTCAAATGTGTACTGCATGGCACGCTACAGACAGGATCTCTACGTAAAGACAGTTTGAATTTTTCTCTGGGACTGCAGATAAGATAAGTCAATTGACCAATGAGGAAGCATCTTAGTCCATCCTAGTAACCGTTGAAAATCACATTAAAATTTGAGTGGTTTGGTGTCAGCCAAGATATGACGTGCGGGTTGGTGTAAATGTGAACCCACCTTTATTTGTCTACCGTGTTCTGCACCGTGCATGTCATCGTCTATGAATATATACTTTTGGTAACATGTTTCGTCACTTGTGGACCTCCTCATCACTTGGTGACCTAAATGCCGACTTCAACTCATAGATACAGACTATGAGGTCCAAGTGTATGGTATTATGTATTAGTAGGGTTCAATGTATGTTTGATTACGATTTTGTGTTGGACAAATTAAGTGCATGTATTGGTTCACAGGGATCACAATTCTTAGCTTTTAAGGATGGTGGAAGTAACGTTTCTAGGGTTTCAAAGTCTTGGGGATTAGTCTAAGTGGGGTGAGGGAGGGTGGGGTACAAGGTTATGATTGTGATGTTGGATAAATATCAACAATTAATTATATATTAATATATGCTAATAAATGATAAATGTAAACAACTTTCTTAATAGAGTATGAACAATGAAATAATATTAAATAGATAAACTGAAAATTGAGGTTTGCGTACCGCAATGTCCTTGAAACAGATATTTCACCCCTACTCAATGCTTGTAATTCTACAGACGTTTGCTTTACCAGGATTCAACGATCAAGTCAAAATTCCAGCACCGGAAAACTTAACTTCTGGCAAATTTCTTTGTGGTTCTCTCAGTAAGAATGCTTTGGATTGTAGAAGAAGAATTATGTTTTTCTATGTTCTAAATGGCATGCAAATGGATGTATATATAATAGGATTATGCTTGCAATTCATACTGTTGTGTTCATTTTGACCCTGCAGATCCCAAACTATTTAACATGGAATTAATCATATCCTTGAATGTTCTATTTCCTTTTGACAACACCATTTTGTTGTGGTGTGTATGGAGCCGTTGTTTGATGTATAATTCTATGTTGTGCACAAAAATCTAAGAAGGCAATAGACTCATACTCACCTCCTCTATTAGATCTAAATGCTTTGATTTTTCTCTCAAGTTGATTTTCAACTTCAGCTTTATATGTCTTAAACATATTCAAAGCTTCGTCCTTACTATGAATCAAATAAAGATAGCAATACTTATTGCAATCATCAATAGAAGTAACATAATATTCTTTCCTCCACGAGTTGGTGTGAATTTAAAGTCACAAAAATCACTATGAATTAAACCAAGTCATTTGATCTTTCCAAAATTGACTTTCTAGTCTTCCTAGCAAATTTCAATTCAATACGTGTTTCACACTTATGATTAAAATCAATTTCGAATTTAGGTAATAATTCTAATTTAACCATTCTTTGCATGGAACGAAAATTAACACGTCCTAATTTAGCATGCCAATATTAGAAGACTCAACAATATAAGTAGAAGCATTTATTTTATTAGCATCATCAATGGCAATTACATTGAGTTTCACGAGGCCACCAGCCACATATCCATTTCCAACGAACATCTCACCCTTAGTAAGTACAAATTTGTTGGATTCAAATACAAGTTTAAAGCCCTAGCAATCATAATAGGTCCAGAAACCAAGTTCCTCCTTATTTCAAGAACATGCAACACATTCAGCAAGGTGAGACTCTTTTCAGATGTGAATTTGAATACCACTTTGCTTTTCCCCTCCACCGTAGATGAAGCAGAATTGCCCATATGCAGTTTTTCTCCAGGAGCAGCAGGATGGTATTCAGTGAACAAAATTCTAACAGTGCAGATGTGCTTGGTAGCACCAGTATCCATCAACCATTCATTCACATTCGAAACCATGTTGACCTTGGACACAATAGCAGCCAACTCTTCATCAATGATTGCCATATTAGTATGGTTGTTGTTGTTTCCATTGGCATGATTTCCATCTTTGTGATGATAGCAATCTTGTGCCTTGTGACTAAATTTGCCACACATAACATAAGCCCTTAATCTTCTTCAGATTCTTGGCTTTAGGAGCAAGGGTAGATTGTACAAATTGCTTAGTTTTCGGAGCCTTATTCTTGGCCTTGGAGTTTCATCCCTCAACATAATTCGAATTGTCTTCAATGGCAGCAAATCCACTATAACGGTCTGCCTTTCTGTGCTCTTCTTCCACTCATAGCCTCAAAATCAAATCCTCCATATTCATTTCACGACACTTGTGCTTGAGATAAAATTTGAAGTCATTCTAGGAAGTTGGCAATTTCTCAATTATTGCCCCAACTTGGAAATGCCCATTGATCTCGTATCCCTCGGAGTATAGTTCATAGATCAATTTTTGGATTTCTTTGACCTAAGAGACAATAGATTTCGAATCCACCATAGTATATTTGAGAAACATACCAATAACAAATTTCTTTGAACCAGCATTATCAATCTTATACTTTTTCTCTAGGGATTCCCACAACTCCTCTGCAGTCTTGCATAAAGAATACATGTCGTAGAGATTGTCATCCAAACTATTTAGAATATAATTCCTGCAACAAAACTAAGAATGATTCCAAACTTCGATTGCATGACAGAAACTTTTGTCATTGGATTCTCATTAGACTTTGAAGCTTCTTCCTTGACAACATGAGCGAGATTCATGGTTATCAGGAAAAACATCATCTTTTGTTGCCATCTCTTGAAATCCAGCCCCTTGAATTTCTCAGGCTTCTTAGAGTATTTCGACATAATGTCATTCATATTCACAGATTGTTGATCCATTTATCCGTTTCAAGATTGTTGGATAAATATCAACAATCAATGATATATTTATAAATGCTAATAAATTATAAATTCAAACAACTAACTTAATAGAGTATGAACAACGAAATTATATTAAACAGATAAACTGAAGATCGAGGCTTGCGTACTGCAATCTCCTTGAAACAGATTTCGCCCCTACTTAGTGCTTGTAGTTCTACAGACGTCTGCTTTACCAGGATTCGACGATCAAGTCAGAATTTCAACACCGAAAAACTTAACTTCTAGCGAATTTCTTTGTGGTTCTCTCAGTAAGAATGCTTTTGATTGTAGAAGAAAAATTATGTATTTCTGTGTTCTAAATGTCATGCATATGGATGTATATATAATAGGATTATGCATGTTCACAATAAGTATGAAAAGGGGATGCATTTCTTAGGAGACATCTTCTTAGAAAGGTATTTGTTCTTTGCGTTCTTTCACCACACTTCAGACTTCATCTGAAAAGATGAGTCTGTTGGTAAACAATAAATAATTAATTATATCTGAAATGAATTAAAAATAATTAATTAAAGAATTTAATTATTAGAGCTCAAGCCCAAGAGCCCCAAGACTCAAGGCCCATTTTTTGATAATTAATTATATATTAATTATCAATTAATTAGTACACCACAAAGGCCAAACCCAAAGTTGAGCCCAATTTTATTCTCTATGATCCATCACTCCAATCACTTTTTATAAAGGACAAAGCCTTATAAAGTGAGTGAATCTTTGGGTAATGTGGGACAATGAAATTCTACTCAAAATTTCCAACATATGATATGTTCATACTTCGATTTTTTTTCCAATTAATCTTTTTAAAATAATTAGGGTTTCACTTGCGAGTGTTAAGGGGGAAAAATAAGAAACTTTTCTTAAATGCAATATACTTGGCTTCTTATGTGTGAGAGGCAGTTGTAGCAATGGTCTTTCAACTTTAACCTAACTGAAGTAATGTTTATTTAACTAAGAATATGTGACCATCGGTCCCTTAACTCATCAAAACGTGCAGCTATGGTTTTTTTTGTCAACTCCATTAAAACTTTCATGAAAATGAGTCATGTGTTACACACGTGAGGCTGAGTCAAGAGGCAAATATGGAAAACCAAATGAGAAAATTTGTAGCATCTCAACTTTAAACCAATTGGAGAACAAGTTCGTCAACCTTAACTCAATTGGAGCAATGGTCCCTCAACTTTAACCTAATTGTAGCAATAATCGTTCCAACATGACTCATTTGACGGAAGTTTTGACAAAGTTGACAAAAAAGACCATAGTTGCACATTTTGATGAGTTAATGAATCGATAATCACGAATTTTTAATTGAGAGACTATTGCTTCAATTGAGTTAAAATTGAGGAATCATTGCTAAAATTTTTTCCATGTGAAAATAGTCATTTCCCCATCAAGAAAAATTAGATATTTGATATGTGTGTCAAAATGTGTTAACAAGTGAGTCAAAATGATTACCTTATATAAAGATCCAAGTGTTGCCATTTCTAAATTAAAAGAACTTGGTTTTGTAATCTAAATGAACTATAAAAAGGGATCCATTTCATGTAAACCCATTAGAAAGTTATTTTGGGCCATGTGACTAACTTATGGAAATACATGACATTGGTCCTAAGATAAAAGGGTTAAATGGCCCAAAACAAGAGAGTAAATATCTAACCTTTTTGGGAACCAACTTGGAGGAGCCCTCTTACATGCTTCAAACTCAATGTAAGAGAGAGTTTTAGTGTATCAAGTTATGTTTTTGGCACACTAAAAAGTTTTTCCTATTACGTTGATGTAGGTCAAACCAACTTGTCTTAAGATTTTCAAAAACCTTACCCTTGGAACTATACGAGTAGCCCATGAGTATGATCTGCAACCTGCTAACCCGTTTCAGCTACTGCCATCAGTCTCATTTACAATGAAACTGTAGGAGAATATAGTCTTTATATCTATAAGGACTTATATATTTATTAATGATATATTTATCTGTTTCAAGATTGTTGGATAAATATCAACAATCAATGATATATTTATTAATGCTAATAAATTATAAATGCAAACAACTAACTTAACAGAGTATGAACAACGAAATTATATTAAATAGATAAACTGAAGATCAAGGCTTGCGTACCGTAATGCCCTTGAAACAGATTTCGCCCCTACTCAGCGCTTTTAGTTCTACAAACGTCTGCTTTACCAGGATTCGACGATCAAGTCAGAATTTTAACACCAGAAAACTTAACTTCTGGCGAATTTCTTTGTGGTTCTCTCAGTAAGAATGCTTTTGATTGTAGAAGAAGAATTATGTTTTTCTGTGTTCTAAATGTCATACAGATGAATGTACATATAATAAGATTATGCATGTTCGTAATAGGTATGAAAAATGGATGCATTTTTTGGGAGACATCTTCTCAGAGAGGTATTTGCTCTATGCGTTCTTTCACCACACTTCAGACTTCATCTAAAAAGATGAGTCTGTTAGTAAAAAATAATTAATTAATTAAATCCGAAATTAATTAAAGAATTTAATTATTAAAGCCCGAGCCCAAGAGCCCCAAGACCCAAGGCCCATCTTTTGCTAATTAATTATATATTAATTATCAATTAATTAGTACACTCCAAAGCCCAAATCCAAAATTGAGCCCAATTTTATTCTTTATGGTCCATCACTCCAATCACTTTCTATAAGGGACAAAGCCTTATAAAGTGAGTGAATCTTTTGGTAGTGACAAATGTTGGACAATGAAATTCTTCTCAAAATTTCCAACATATGATATGTTCATACTTTGATTTTTTTTTTTTTTTTCATATAATCTTTTTAAAATAATTAGGGTTTCACTTGCGAGTGTTAAGGGAAAAAAATAAGAAACTTTTCTTAAATGCAATATATTTGGCTTCTTATGTGTGAGAGGCAATTGGAGCAGTGGTCTCTCAACTTTAACCTAACTGAAGTAATGTTTCTTAAACTAAGAATCTGCGACCATCGGTCCCTTAACTTATCAAAACGTGCAGCTATGGTCTTTTTTGTTAACTCTATTAAAACTTCCATCAAAATGAGGCATGTGTTACACACGTGAGGCTGGGTCAAGAGGCAAATATGGAAAACCAAATGAGAAAATTTGTAGCATCTCAACTTTAAAACAATTGGAGAACAAGTTCATCAACCTTTACTCAATTGGAGCAATTGTCCCTCAACTTTAACCTAATTGTAGCAATAACCGTTCCAACATGACTCATTTTGACAGAAGTTCTGACGGAGTTGACGACAAAGACCATAGTTGCAGATTTTGATGAGTTAATGAATCAATAATCATGAATTTTTAATTATGAGACTATTGCTTCAATCGGCTTAAAATTGAGGAATCATTGCTACAATTTTTTCCATGTGAAAATAGTCATTTCCCCATCAAGAAAAATTAGATATTTGATATGTGTGTCAAAATGTGTTAACAATCGAGTCAAAATGATTACCTTATATAAGGATCCAAGTATCACCATTTCTAAATTAAAAGAACTTGGTTTTGTAATCTAAATGAACTAGAAAACGGGACCCATTTCATGTAAACCAATTAGAAAGTTATTTTGGGCCATGTGACTAACTTATGGAAATACATGACATTGGCCCTAAGATAAAAGGGTTAAACGGCCCAAAACAAGAGAGTAAATATCTAACCTTTTTGGGAACCAACTTGGAGGAGCCCTCTTACATGCTTCAAACTCAATGTAAGAGAGAGTTTTAGTGTATCAAGTTATGTTTTTGGCACACTAAAAAGTTTTTTCTATTACGTCGATATAGGTCAAACCAACTTGTTTTAAGATCTTCAGAAACATAACCCTTGGAACTATACGAGTAGCCCATGAGTATGATCCGCAACCTGCTAACCCGTTTCAACTACTACCATCAATCTCATTTAGAATGAAACTGTAGGAGAATATAGTCTTTATATCTATAAGGACTTGTATAAAATGGATTTAGCATCACCCTGCATCTCGTTCTAGTAAAATAATGTCAAATATAAGTTTCTGATTGTATGACATTGTATAATTTGATCAGGAACAACGTAAATGTCAAAAAACTGATGTCTAGAGAACAAAAAAAGATTGATGTTTCACCAATTTTGGGCTGTTGATAAGACAACGAGCTTTGCTCTCCTAAGCATCAAACGACAATATATTAACCAAATAAGATTTTGGGCCGTTGATAAAAAGACAAGATTTTGGGCCGAACAATGAACTTCGCCCATCGCCACTGGCTAGTCATTAGCGAGGGCAAGTATCCGGGCCTCTGTCGGCATTGCACACGAAGACTCTGCGGAGGCTGTCCCGTCGGACACGTGGGAATCCTGCCACAGCTGTCCCCCCCAATAACCTTAATGAGTAAGCTTTCCCTTCCGTTTCCGTTTCCTTTTTACGAGAAGGAACCCCCGTCGCTTTTTATCCCTCCTTCCTTTTCCCCTTAATCTCCAGGAATCAAATTCCCCAGAATTCAACTCTTTTCCTCAGAAATCAAAAGAAGAAGAAGAAGAAGAGAAAAAGCAAACAGAAGAGAATGGGGCTGCTCTCCAACAGGTATGATCTTCCTTTTTTATTTTTTATTTTTTGGGAAAGCAGGAATTTTTTTTTTTTTTTTTTTTGTGGGTTTTGAAAATTTGAAGGAATGGGAATTGAAATGCGTATGTGTTGTGGAATGAAATGATGCAGGGTGGATAAGGGGAGCTTGAAGCCGGGGGATCACATCTACTCTTGGAGGACTGCTTATATCTATGCCCATCACGGTTCTCTCGCTTCCCATTTTTTTTTCCATTGATTTTTTTGTTTTAAATTTCCTCTTTTTGGTTAGGAAATTACATGGTTTGGATGTTAGAGTAGCTTGCTTGTTTTCGATTTCTGAGGCAATGATCGGTGGATTAAGAATTAAGATTATCCAAATTTTAAGGACTTTTATGTGATTAAAGTTTTTATGACAAAGATGGGAACTTTAAGCTCCATGAGTTTTTTTATTAAGATTATTGGAAAATGATGATTTGATCATGTGGCATTTGAGTTCTAACCACAATTATTTAGTGTAATTCGATAAATAAAGCCCGAGAATCGGTGCTTCATTGCCCTCGATTCTTACGTATATGGTTGCAATAATCTACCCCAGTATGGCTATGATGTAGCGCCAAGCGTATTGTTAGCTAGCGTGTATTGTCTTTCGTTTCCAAGAAACCACCAGCTTCTCGATTATGAGGAATGTTATTACTCGATATGATTTTCCTTAATGGGCTGAAGTAGGTGCATGCCTGATGACTTGTGTAGTAGTTTACATGGGAGCTATTAAGTCATGCCCTAATAAACCCAGTGGCCTTTGGTTTCTTTGGTACATTGCAGCTGTGGTTTACCCCGTGGGAGGTGGAGACGTCTTTGAACAAGTTCTTTTTCTAGTGACTAGAGTCTATAGCTCCTTACAATGTTTCCTTCCAGTCTATCACCCTCGGACCCGATTGCTATGCATCTTTATCTGCCCCTCTAATTGTGTTAGGGTTGTTTTTGAGTGGCATTATTACCCACTTTAAACTACATGTTTTCCAACCATCACTACTTTTCTTATCTCTTTACTCCAGAGTCATTAATAGTGTTCAATACCTCAAAATTTTAGTACCTGCCTCTATGGCACTGCCATGGCGTTGCTTCAAACCCAAAAAAATGAACAAATAAAGAAATAAAATTTTTGTGTTCTTAAGGTGTTATCAAAGGCGGGTAAAGTTATAAATTATCTAAGAGGGCGGGCCGGCAGGCTATGCATTTTAGGTTATAGTGCTCTCTCTAGAATTTTGTCTTGATTATGAGTGACGATCCTTAGTTTCTCCTTGTTGGAGTTTTATGTCCAGGGGATATCGTTCCTCGTAACATTGACCTAAATCTTGGTTAATTAATTTGAGTTCAAGAAATGTCATGAATGGTTCTGTACAACAAGGACATCGCTCTTATTCTCTGTTCGCAGCAATGATATGTTGGTTCGTTAATCTTTTGTGTGCGTTTAGAAGTAAATATCCTGAAGAGGTACCATTTGCATTTTCAAGGCTGGGGGAGACTCATTCGGAGCCAAATAGTTCTGTTTAGGAATCGTCTATTGCCTCTTTTTTGTGATACCGCTCAGTTACAATATGACCAGTTTTCTTAGTTCTGTGTTCTTTATACCTGTTTTTTGATAAATATCCTTCCTGTGCATGGCAAAGGACAGGCATCTATGTTGGGAATGACACAGTCATTCATTTTACCAGACGTGGACAAGAAGTAGGAACGGGGACAATGCTGGATCTTCTCTTGGTTAGCTCAGGGCCAGCCCAACCTCAACAACCCTGCCAAATTTGCACTCCACGGGAAGAGGGCAGTGGTGTTCTCTCCTCATGCCTGAACTGCTTTCTTGCAGGTGGCATCTTGTATCGTTTTGAATATGCTGTCAACCCTGCTCTTTTTATTGCAAAAGCACGCGGCGGAACCTGTACCCTTGCAGTCTCAGACCCAGACGATGTTGTGGTCCATCGAGCAAAATACCTGTTTGAGAATGGCTTTGGTTGCTACAATGTGTTCAAGAACAACTGTGAAGACTTTGCTATTTACTGCAAAACGGGACTGCTTGTTCTGGATCAAGGAACAATCGGGCAAAGCGGCCAAGCAGTATCCATCATAGGGGGACCTCTTGCAGCTGTTTTGTCCACGCCATTGCGTCTTGTCACAACCAATGTTTATGGGATGGCCGCAACTGCCATTGGAGTCTACTGTGCTAGTAGGTATGCTGCTGACATTGGCATGAGGAGGGATGTAGTGAAGGTGTCGGTCGAGGATATGACGAGGAGAGTGGCAGCTGGCCTGCTCCAGGTGGCCGAGGCCCAAATCACAGCGGCCCCAATCACGGCCCTTGCAGGAGGTTCTTCGAACCTTGTCGCTTGATAGTTTGATTGTTTTTATTACATTAATAAGCACTTGTGCAATGACATCTGCTGTTTAAGCTGGCTTGTATGATGAGATGTTTGTGTTTTCTTCATGTTGTCCACCAGCATATGTGGAGTTTATAAGGCCAAGAGTGGTGGCATCTGCCTTTATTCAAAAACCTTCTTTGTAAAATGATTGGTGTGGGATTTTTTGTACTTTATTCATGATCATACTTACTAAGGTACCGAACTATAACACCTCTAAATTTGTACCACACATATTTCTTTTTGTTGGATACAAATGATGTTGGGGAGGGGGAAATCGAACTCGTGTTGGATACAAATGATGTTGGGGAGGGAGGGGGAAATCGAACTCGTGTTGGATACAAATGATGTTCGGGAGGGAGGGGGAAATCGAACTCGTGTTGGATACAAATGATGTTCGGGAGGGGGAAATCAAACTCGTGTTGGATGCAAATGATGTTCGGGAGGGGGAGGGTGAAATTAAACTCAAGACTTCAGGTGCATGTATAACCTACAAATCTTTTGGGTGAATGCTTTAAACAAGTGAGCTCTATGTTAAATCCGAGAAAAAAATGATGTTGGGGAGGGGGAAATCGAACTAGTATGGATACAAATGATGTTGGGGAGGGTGAGATCAAACTCGAGACTTCATGCGCATGTGTAACCTACATGTTTCTTGGGTGAATGCTTTAAACAAGTGAACTATAAAGTTAAATCCTGGAAAATGATGTTGGGGAGGGGGAAATCAAACTAGTATGAATACAAATGATCTTCGGGAGGGTGAAATCGAACTCAAGAGCTTGGGTGTATGTATAACCTACAAGTTTCTTGAGTGAATGCTTTAAAAAAGTGAGCTACAAGTTAAATCCGAGAAAAAAATATATATATTATGATAGTTGATGGCATTTAACGGCCCAAAACAAAATAAGAGGATGAAATCACGAAATCCCATCATATTTGTAAAATATTTGTTTGATACAAATGAAAGGTTAAACCTCGAACGGTGAGTTGATGATGATGCAAGAAATGGTGGTATGGTGAAGGTTACCAGATACCTAGATACGGTGTGAACTACGAAACTACGACGATAGTTGCTACGATGCTATGATGATGCAGTTGTATCAGTAATCAATAGTGGCGGAAGATGCAGGCAAGTAGGCACCAGTGTGGTCGTTGAGTGCTGGTTATAGCCATGGTGGTCCTAATGACAGAGTGATAATATTGGTGAGGAACTAGTTGTGAAAGGTGATATATGGTGCTGATAGAGACGGTGGTGCATGTATAGCTGTATGGTTCTGGTATTGATGTTAATGCCATATAGTTGCATATTTATGTTAACTTATTGTACATGATGGTAGATAATGGCATTTGTTCAATATTCAACAATTTGGTGTACTCATGACAGCTCAAACACTAACCATTTACTAACTAGTAACATAGTATGACGTAACCACTCATTTAGGCCTTACTCAACAAAATTTCTCGTAATTGAAACTGATCATCTTACATGCTACGATCATGGGTGTTTTTCAGAAGGATCGGGCTCGAAACCACGTTTCAATTTTTTGATCTGAACACAATTTTTTTAATTTGGAATTTTGGGAATCGAAGTAATTTGGGAAATTTCATAACATAATTCGAAAATTCACATATTTTACAAGTTTTTGAATACTCTCATATTTTTGTACATGTAATTTATTGTTCTTTCTAAATATTTAGTATATGTTTATGTATAGATACAAGTAATTTTGTGTTATACTAATATGGTTATTCGTTTTAATATACATAAATATGTTTAATATAAAACAATTAACAAAATATATTCAAAGCTAGAAATAAATTATAAAAGTTGATAACTTAAATATTTAAGTAAATAACTATAAGAAATTAGAATATTTTGGAATAGTTTTATTTTTCTAAATAAAGTTTGGAACTCTTTGAAAAAATTTGGATTAGAAATATGGAATTATCGGAATTACTAAATGCATTTCAATTTTTGTTCCAACTTTTCAGAAAGTATTCGGATTCAAAAATTTTACTCTTGGAAATTAGAAACCTATTCCAACTTGCACCCCTAGTATGATTAAAAGATCAATAGAATCAACTCAAATAAAAAATCGTTTAATTATCCAACTGTGATATTATAAATAGGCGAACATAGTGTTATAAAAAAAAACAATGAAATGTTACTAATAATCAAATGGCTAAATGATTTCAATAGAGTGAAATTTTGCAAAGTTGATCTATGAATGAGGATCTAAAAATTGAACAGTTTGGGTCATAAGATTACTTTGTGGAGTAGACTTAACTGAGTGATTAATGTCGTATTAAGTTACTAATTAGTTAGTGCTTGGTATCCTTGTTATTTTAATTATTATTTTTTCATAACTATTCATATGAATGTACTAAAAAATGGTGTTGAATTTGAATGCCATCAAACACATTCAAGTTCTTTTCACATATGAAAACTTTTACTTTTCACATAAAGAATTTAACATTGAGAATCAAACTCTCATCATGAATATGAGGGCAAATAAGTCTCTATTCGCGAAGCTGTATGCTTATCCGTATGACAGCCTTATAGGCAATGAATTGAGGAATAATGTAAGCGAATATGGTCCCAAGCATATATGCATGTTTCCCTGCGAATTGGGCATTGGGGATTTGGCTGCTTTCGAATATTTGGAGGATAAGGGAGTAAGTGATCTTGGAGAACTAGATAAAGACTTCAAAAAAAAAAAAAGTTGAACTTTAGGCATGTGACACTGGGAGACACATTCTGGGGGAATCGATTAAATCCATGCGATAACAACAAGAAGCAAAAATGACACAGACATGTGGTGCTTATGTGCATGGCAGGCGAGTTCCACGAACAAATTTAAGAAACAAAACCAATCAACCGTTGGTTGGATAACCATTTCGTTTTAAGTGTATAATAAAAAGGAATACTATGTGAAAATGAAGCCATGAACGTAATTTCCACCAGAGGATCAAGGCAGAGCTAGAAATTTTTGTAAGGGTGGGCGAATATTTTTTTTTTTTTTTTCCTACAAGGGTCTAAGTAAATTTCCTTCTTTGCTTTTTAACAAGAAAGCTTCAACTTATTAAGCATAGAGAGGTGGCTGACTGGCTTCAATTAGGGGAGAACTTGAGTGGTGGGTAGGCTAATTTCTTCTTAGTAGGCTGGGCCAATCTATGTAAAATGGTTTGGAAGGGCTACAAATTAGTATTAATTTCTTAATTTTTCAAACTTTGTCCTGGGTTATAGCCCACCTTAGCCTGACTTTAGTTCCTCCCAAAGTCCCATGGATGACACACGAAATGTTAGTCAAAAATAAAAAAAAATTGAACAATTTAGGGTTGTTTTCGTTTTCCTTTTCATTTCCTTCATTTGCCCCTCCTAGCTCCCTTAAATCGCCTTTCGTCATCCTTCTGAATTCCTTCTTTCTTCTTTATACTTTCTTTCTATCTCTAATGTAAAAAATAAAAAAATTACAAACATCAACGATTCTAATAATCAAATTAACAAATTTTATGTAAATCTTATATTCTTAATGAACACATTCTTTAATTTTTACAAAAATTCTTATGCCCAAACATTTGAACCACGTAACCGTCCGACCACATACAAATCACTCAGTACTCTATATCTTGGTCAAACTAATCCATGCCGTGATCTAGAACAAAACTTTCTCCTACTTGACCGGCATACATTCTCCGCTGATAGTGGTAGGCATGCAATCTGGGTATTTTCTTCACGACAGAACAATGTTATCTGGACGAGACTTTATCTTTTAAATTATTGAGCAAAGACTGGTAGTTTTTGGTCTCTGTAGCAATTCTCAAAAAAAATCTACTTGGCAATACTTGGCAGTCAATCATAGAGAACAACAGAAAAACGATTAAAATAAAATTAAAAAAAAAAAAAAAAAAAAAAACAAACAAACGAACGAACGAACAAATCAATCTAGCTTTTGGATATGGCTTGTTCATTTTATCTTTACCCTAACAAAGGGTACCATCTTTGTCAGTGATATAATGTGGAGTTATTCTCTTTGTAAAAAGCTTACAATTCCATTCTACTTTATCATATTCCAACCGTTTCGTTCATTGTATTTGGATCAATGTTTTAAGATTTAGTAAATGTGTTGGGAGTATAAATTTCACATTTGATAAAAAAAGTAACTTACATGCATTTACAAGTAGTTTAACTACTTCTCATATTGTTAATTTATTTTATGGTGGAACCTTAATTTTCTTCATGATATCAAATTATGCAAGTTGTCTCACGTGTGAAGCACAAGGGTCACACATGCTTCACGTCACCCCGTTTGTGTCCACATGTAAGACTTGAAAATTCGCTACACGTGAGAGGTCCTGTTCAGAGTATGAATCTCACATCATGGAAAGAAGGGCCACTGCATGTGCTTATAAGTTGTTAAGCTACTCTCTATATTGCTAATTAATTTTATTTTGGAAGATTTTCTTGAGAATAAAAACATATAATTAAGAGAGGTAAATCAAGAAAAGGAAGAAGGTACAATTCCACTCTACTACACCTCTCTACAAAGTTAATAAACAAATAACACTATGAGTCGAAGATTTTGAGCATGTTCAAACTCGAGAATTTTAATAGACTCATATATCATATCAGACAATCACTAAATTTTAACGTACACCAAAATAACACTAATAACTTTGTTTTAGAGTGAGTACAACTTAACAAAATTGATTTAGTCTTCCATTCTACTTTTTTTTTCTTGTGTGTAAATTCCATTACACTTGAGCCAATCAAAAAGTACAAATTTCAAAGGATGGGCGTTACTGAAAGTGAAAGGAATACCTTAAACTTTTTTTTCTTTTTTTTGACTCTTTTCCTTCTCTCACCAATCACCAAAAGCAAGGCATGAGGGCATAAAATACCTAATATTTTTGTCTTTGCTTTTGTGGCTCAATCAAAAGCATCCCTTGCACCGCCAGGCCTGACCAAATATAGAATAATTGAGCAAGAATAACCCCACACATACTAAAATTTTCCTATAACAAATTAAAAACAATAGTATTATAAAGTGAAAAAAAATGTAAAAGATGGTTAGAATAGAGGAGATACCTTGATAATGCTAGACAGATCAATTTTATCGATAAAATTTATAAATCATGTGATGAGTCGAAAATAAACATGTTAATTAACATTTAAATTATAATTCACTCATCAAT